TACACTTTTAAATTGGTGATCAAATTCACTTGCTTTTATAGCAAAACCCAGTGCAGCAGCATCTATTTGAATAGCTTCTTGTAAAGGCATTGTCCTGCCAACTACAAGTTGTCCTCAAGTAATGGTGAGATTTCTGTCATAAGCCTCTTTTGGGGGAGTATTTTCAGATCTCTTTGTGGAAAAATTCTGCTCTGGAAGTGGATGCCATTAGGAATTTTTACCCCTGGGCAGTGCACTCCTATGCTGAGTTTTGGGTAAGGTTTCCAGCTGCAGACACCACCCCATCAACATGCTTCTAATTCAAATGTCCTGAACTCTTCCTGATAAACTGTCTGAAAGTTTTGCTGGGTGTTTTGTCTTCTAGGCTTCCAAATTCTTCTGCTGGTTAATTTTTTTTTTTAGGGATGTATAAAGTGATGAGGCAGGGATTGTGAAAAGAGCCTTGCACCACTAACGGGTTGCTGCTACACAACCATCCATGTTCTGTGTGCTTACAGGAGCTCTGCAAAGACCTGACATTAAGAAATGAGAATATAATTTTGCTTTGTTTTTTTTAATCTCAGTGTTTTACCACAAAAATCACCACTGCCAGTGCTTTGATAGAAATCCAGGCTGGTCCTGTTCCAAGAGACCCAGGCTTTTTTCCCCAAAGGTCAGCTTGTTCATGATGAAGTAGGGATTGAGAAGCTCTTTTTGTTTTAAACTTCTCCCTGCTTGGTTTGTTGGTTTTGGGTTTTTTGGTGCCTTTTTTTTTTTTTTTTTTTAAGGTGGGCTAATTCCAGTATTAATTGCTTCAACTCTTATTTCACCATGGTAAAAAATAAATTGCTATAGTTGCTTGCCCATTACTATTTATAGCTTTCTCCTTTACTGGCTGTTTTCCTCCTCTGCACAAGACCATAAATACATTAAAGAGCAAAGGAAGGAATGATTGGTTTGTCTTTGACACATAGGCTCTCAAGATTGTTGATATTAGTCACATTAATTAATCATCTTATGGACTAGAGGTTTTATTAACGGAAGTGTTATCTGATTCAAAAAATCAGATCCTGACCACTCCTGAAAAAATACACACTCTTGACATTAAGGTGACTTATTGATACCAGTTGCCACAAAAAACCATGCCAGATAGGTCAGATGTGGTTAAACTGGCTTGGATTTCTGACCAGCAGCCAGGCTTTGCCTGTCATAATTTTCCCTGATTCTCCACTTCTCTGGGAATTATTTAAGAATATTATTATACAATTATAATGAGCTGAAATCCCCCTGCTTCAGCTGCCTTGGCCTTGGTAATAATATTTTCCCCCTCCTCTGCAGTGAGAAGGATCTGACTCAATTGCATTTTCCTCTCACAGAAAGTGTCCTTGGTCAGCAGTGCAGGGAGGTGCAAGGGAAGCCCCAAAGCAGTTTGTGTTTGCAAACCCTCTTTCATTTACAGCCTGTGCAACTTTGACACCGTTCTCTTGTGATAGGTTCTAGGGAATGAAAACCCCATGGAGCAAGGTACATGATCAAACTGTCACTGAAATTCCTGCTCTATCAGGGCTGCCACTGAGTCCTTCTGAAGGCTTTGAGTTAGGAAGTGGCATGTTTCCTGAGAGCTGATACTCTGTGTTTTGGATAAAGTCATGGCAGAAATGTCACACTGAAAATATCCCAATGGATTTTTACACCCATTTAATCATCCTTTGGAGAAGTGAGGCATGTATCACTGCAGATAGAAATGCTGTGTATTGACTTTCCAGCTCTACTGGAAACAGCTAAATCATATTTGGTTAATAAAAACCAAAATATAAATTGTGCTTTTTTCACTGGGAGAGGCTTGCTTTCTGCCCCCTCCTTTGTGTTTTCTTTCTTTCCACCCTGTGGTTTCATTTGTCTGTCTCTGATAACATGACTAATTAGAATGAAAGCAAATTAATTAACTTTATAAGGGAGTGCTGAATTATACTGTCTTTGGGTCACGGTTGCAAACAGAAGCACCTTGTCCAGAAGCCTTAATTTCCCTAAAATATTGCATAAGATCCATTCAGTTAAACCAATGCAATCTGCTTAAATGTTTGCTCTTGTGGATGAGGGAAAACCAGCTGATAAATATTTTAGGATGAATCATGCAGTTACTACATTAAGGTGAATTAATATAGTTGATGCTTTTGTGATTGACCAGCACAAGCCAAGTTACTGTAATCCATCTGTAAACTGTCTGCGCCTCAAGCCTTTTTTGAGGCTCTTTCATCAAAACCAGGCGGTTTACCTGCATCCTTTGTCATGCTCTGCATGCACAAATAAGGCCATTGCCACTGAGATAGTCCATTAGACTGATTTTTCAAGCACACAAACAGCACTTCCCAGTGAGTAATTGTATATTTGACCTAACATACTATGTTTGCAACCCTTGCAATTGATGTCAGTTGAGACTAAGCCTAATTCATCCTTCCCCTCACCCAGAGAAGGATATTTGTAAACCAAAACCCATGCAACTGTGATTTCATCTCAATACCTGTTACACAGCTGAGAAACCTGCCTTAATGCTGCTAACTGCTACTCAGCTTGTCTATGCCAAAACAGTGAATAAAAAAAAATATTTGGTGCTTGTGCACAGGAGTGTAACATCAAGGATTTCAGTAGGGATGCTAAATAAAAAAGTTCATTACAAACATAACCAGTTATGAGCTATCTAAGGATATTTCACTCCCATGCATGAGTCAAGTTAGCCTGTAGTAATTTATCAAAGCTCAGGTGTGTAGGACTCTATAAGCCTGGTTTAGTTTCTCTAATGAAGAGTCCACATCACAAAGTCAAATTGAAGAAAGTGGTTTTGGGGGCAAACACGAGGATATAGATCAGAGCAAGGCAGTGCAGAGAGACCTCCAGCTCTGTTTTCTGAGAGGTGTTTGTGTGTGATGTCAATGGGTGTACGTGTGCTTCAGAGGCAGGCTTGGCTAAATGGGAATGGCCAAGAGCAGGGGCAGGGACAGTATGAGACTGCTGAGGAGCAAACATGGAAGGCAACACAGGATGTAACAGAAGCAAAAAGATTGTGAGCTGGATATGGACCAGCCTTCTTTTCTAGTTTGCTGGGGGGAATTAATTCTGTCCAGCACATTTCATTTTATATTATGTCTGTCTTATTTTTTGGTAGTCTGCTTCTGCCATTTGCTTAGATATTGAAATGACCTTTCTTACTTGTTCATCTTGGCAGTTTTCAGTCGGACTGCCAAGAAAACTAAAACTCTCTTCCTTATTCCTCGAAAGCATAATCAGGGAGTTAAGAAGCCAAGATTAGTCTTGCTAATAAATGTGTACAAGAGGACTCCTTTGGGGATTTCTGTTTTTCTAAGTATTTGCTCTAAAGGATTATGAGTTTCTACCCCTCTTGGGAGATATTTGGGGTTTGTCTCATCCTTCTTTGTATTGTGGAAGGGAAAATACCCAGTAGGTCTGATCACTGATTTTCTAAAATACCCTTTTTTCACTATTTTTGTGGTGGCAATGTTTTGCTTTCCAAGGACACTATGAGACACAGCCCATCCCCTGAGGAGCTCTGGTCATACTATCTGTTTCCTCCAGGGAATAACAGCAGGCATGGGAGCTTTGTCTAATTAATGTGTGTCAAGGTCACCAATCCTTGCAGGGGCTGGCTGCCTTGCCTTGCAGAAAGGGACAAGGGTAAACAGGTAAATAGAAATCGCTGTGTGATAATGAGTGTACATCCACAGATATCCAGAATTCTTATTTCAGGTTGCTTTAGGCTGTGTGAGAACACATCTCAGCACATCTTTGTCTGATGTCAGCTGGAGCACTGGAAAAGGAGCAGACGTGAGCAGGTGGAATTCCCACCTGGGAGCAGAGAACCTGCACAGGAGCCCATCACATCACAGAGCTTGTTAGCCTCTGTCCAAAAGGGGTGAATGGATCCAGCCTGATCAATGACTTTGTGCTGGCTGCAGCCACAGATTACTCTGAGACCATTCATAAATTATGGTTTAAACAGTAACATTTTTCAAGGGCTTGAAACAATTAGGTGCATAGATTGAGATAATGCAGTGTCATGGCAGTTTTGCGTTGCGTGTCTGCAGTATGTGGTATTCAGCCTTTGCTGTTGGAAGCTGCCATCTGTGCAAACATTTTAACTGATCCCATTCTGAAAGAAATTTGATGAGTGGCAGAAGAAAAATAAGTTAATTAATGGTTTGGTTGTGCATATGGACATGTAATCCCTGGCCAGATGCAATCAGACATTTTGGGTCATATAAGCAGCATGGTTGGCCTTTAGATAGCCAGTGACAGGCACCCACAATAAAGTTAATACTGCCAGAACCCCCTGTATTTCTGGGAGGCTTAGGGTGCTCTGTGGTGTGTGTGTGTGTGTACTTCATCCCCCGCCTCCTCTTGTGTTTCTGTTTTTGCCTTTTCAGTGCAGCAACAACCCCTTCAGCTGAGGCCCTTTGGATTGCTTTGATATAACATTCAAAAAGATCAAAGGGAAAGCAAATCTCAGCTGGTGGCCTTTCCCTTTAAAGCAGTGACTTTTAGGCCATGTCTCTGCTACAGATGTTTGCTGGCAGGACTGTGTCAAGCCAGGTTTGATGGGGAGTTTGATCCCTGTCAGGCAGATTTGTGTGAGCAGATGATTTTTTCCTGGTTGTGCTGCATGTGTTTGCTTGGCAGGAGTGAACAGTGAGTGGGCCTGACTGTGCTCATGGTGCAAGGGCACTTTTGTCAGTTCAAAAGCAATTTGCACATGGGGCACCCTGTCCCTGCTCATGCAGTAGTGCCCAGGCTGAACAGTGCTCATGGATGTAGCTGTGATGCCCAGGAAGCAAAGCAGCTGAGCCTTTAAATTGATACTGCTCTGTTGGCAAAGTCTCTGAAAGAAATGTAAAACAACTCTCTGGTGTTGAACTGTGTTCTGTTTTAGGAACTGGTTTAGCCTGTGCTGGCACAGAAACTCTCTCTGAGGCAGGCTTTTTTTCAGCTGCAATGGGTTTATCCTCTCTAGTTTAATTCTATCTCATTTGTTGGAAAACCTTTCTATAAAAGCAAGACATCAGTTTCTCCCTCATAGTTGGGTTTTTAGTAGAAATCCTGCTGTGAAGATCAAGAGAGAGAAGATGGACCTCTAAAATGTGACTGGCCTCAGAAGCCTTCCCATTTTGGGTGGAAATGCAGTGCTACAGTGTTTGCCAGAATGCACCATAATTCCAGTGTTCCAGGAGACGTTTCCTCTTGGTAATGACTTGAACATGTCAGTAATTTAGGTACTTAAGAATCCCTTTCATTTTCAGGATGTTGAGTTTGTAGTGCCAGGAAGATGCTTTTTGGGGAAAGCAGCTTATTTCTAAATGACTAAAATGGAATTATGGGCTGCTGAGAGTGAGCCTGACAGAGGTGCTGCTCAGGACACACATCTGTGCCCACAACCAACATTCAGAACTGCAACTCCTGGAACAGAAAAGAAATGGCTCTACTTTTTGCAATGAGAGCTGCTCTTGGCTTGCTCCTTAAATAAAATTTAGGGTGCGATAGTATTCTCTCCTGCCACAATCTAGACATAATCTAGATTAAATTACTTTTCTTTTTATTTATTTTCTTACTGGTTTTGTTTTTTTGGTTTGGTTTCTCTTTTGTATAGGCACTAAAGATGGCCCAGGTCGTGGATTACATGAGAACTCCAATGCATATTACTGAACTCCACTACTGTGAATTCAGGTAAGTGCTATTTAAGCACAAGTCTTGTTTGGTTGGTTTTTTAATTAAGGGAAATTGCCTTTACTGAAAAACAAGCTTATATGAAGCCTACATCTTCTTGAACACAATTGGAATTTACCCCTTTCCTAGATATTTTGCTTTTATTTTATTGAAGGTTTTAATTTTTATACTGTTGCTAGGTTTATTGAACTTCCAGTAAAGGATTTTTTTTAAATAATGATTTGAAGGTGTGGGACTTTTTTTTAAGTATGGTCTTCAAGCCTACTTTTAGAACAACCTACTCAGTTGGGTTTGAATCAGCCTGATTCAAAGCTGTCTGAAATCATTGGAAAACCTCCAGAAGGTTTCACGAGCTTTGGCTGAGGCCTTTTTTGAGAGCATGAGAATGAAGGCATTTCTGGTTTTCACTGTTGCATTCTTAAATCTGAATAAGCAGAAAATTGGATTTATTGCTAATAGAAGCAGATCTACAAAAAACAAAGGACCTGTAGTTCTCTACTGTGAGGGATATGGTTTGGCAAGATGTAGAGCAGGTAACTCTTACGACGTGAAAAATGTAGACAATCGGAATTAACTGCAACCAAATGTACCCTGGAAGCACAGCTGTAATTTATAATGCAGTCAGGAATGCACTGCAGGCTCCTCAATCGATAAGCTAATGGGAAAAAAGCCTGCAATTAATTACAAATCAACTGGGTCAATATCCTTTAAATGAAAGATATGAAATTGCTAACATTTGGATGGAACTTCTTTGCCAAGTATATTTATAAACCTCATATAAAATATGATATTTATGAAAAGAATAAAAGCTCCTTTCACTGTTTAAAGGCAGGACTCTGAATGCCTGATTTCCTTTTGCTCTAAAAATTCAACTGAACTGACTTTATTTCAACAAGTTTTCTACTGTGTATAAAAGAAGTGAAGTAATCTTTTACCTTTAATTCAAGACCTTACAGAGAAGCACAAGAGCTATAAATAGGACTCCCAGGGTGATGCTGCCCATGACTTCATGGTCAAAACATTTAAATGATGAAAGTTTGTGCCCAAATGGTTCTCTTAGTAGATGTCAGGACCTGGCAATCTAATATCTTGTTATATTTACAGAAATAGCCCCAGAAAGGGCAGCCAAGGCAGGAGGAGATGGGCTAATGCTGGCACTTGAAGGCTGCTTGTTGTCTGTGAGGTCCCAGCTTCAAACAACTCTGGGCTTTACAATTTGCTAAATTGGGAGTGCTACTTACCTGGAACCCTTTTCATTTGGCACTGATGATGTTTTCCATACATATTCTATAACACTTCTGCTTTTTATGAAAAAAGTGGAGGAGAGTCATGGCCAAGGAGGAAATAATATTATTAAACTTGTGACTCTCTACTTTTTTTTTCTTTTTTTTAAGATAATTTTGTTCATTACCTTGCTACATGCTTTTTATTGTCCTTTTTTGGGAACAGTGGAAATCAAAGGATTGCATTGTAATTATATAACACAAAAATTAAAATATAGGGATGCAGTATTGTGTGATTTCAGAGAGGAATGTTTGACAGCTTCCATCCAATGCAATGATGGTATTTGACCACTGTCTTTGCACCTTCAATTGTAGCTCTGTCTTGCTGCTTTTACTGATTGCAATGCAACTATCCTGCAATGCCTGGCGCCAGGAAATCTGTGCTGATGTTTGAGCAGTATTGAGTTGTTGCTTTTCCACCTCATGAATCTTTCTGTTGTCTCCTCCCTCCCAGATTGTAATGGCTCAGACACAGTGTCTTCATCCACCCAAGTGTTAGTCCCAAACGACTTGGTCTTGGCTGCTGGGTGGGTTTCATGAAGCTTCCATGAAACATCTTCAATCTGGGCAGTGGATTTCTGCTCAGGTAGCACATTGCTGAGCCAGGCTGTCTCTAGAAGCACTAATCATCCACAAAATCACCACCAACTCTGCAATATTTTAGGTAAGCATGGTCTGTCTCAATGTGAATGGCATCCTTGCCTCACAAAACACTTCTGCTACTTGGAACAAGAACTTGATCTCTTTCCAGTCCTCTCCACTCTTTCTTGCAACATGATTTTTCTCAACCTCTTCCAACAAAATCTCAGGAGTTCATAATATATAATAAAACATAGATATGTTGGTATATTGTAATATGTTCATTAGTATAAAGGTAGGAAGTAAGAAAACCATGACAACTGCTGGTGATTCCATCAAAGAAGTCCATTTCTGGGTGAAAATTATATCATGATGGTTGTTTGTTATCACAGCAACTGGAAACTGCTATGCTACTTGACCCTTTCAATATATTTTATATACATCCCAGAAGTTGTTGTGCCAATTACTTTTCACCTCCAGGCTTCCAGTACTCGGTCATTTCATCTTTCATCTTTCTGGAGAATGAGTTCCGATTTGAGTTCCTATTTCTCATTTGCAGTGACAGGGAAAAATATTGGTCAGCCTCACTTGGAAGTGAAATTCATTATATAAATGTCCAAGCTGTTCCTTTATTATTTAATTTTTATATATTATATAAATGTCCATCGGCTCCTTAAAAAAACCCAACAAAACAGAACATTTGAAAAATTTCCTGAATGGATGAATGGCTGATACTATTTTAATAAAAGATAATATTAACACAACACTGACAAATATTTCATTGGTTTAGTCAAAATATTAGTAGCATCACTGGTGATGATACAGACACATGCAAATTACCAGAGAAAATGTCTGAATTTCACATCTGTAGACATAGCACTGCAAAGCTAATACTGCTCTTATTTCAAACACGTTCCACCTGCTCAGGCAGCTGCAGATAGATCAGAAATGTTGATGAAATCTGTAGAAGAAATTCTGTTACAGTGACATTAGCTGATTTCTCTTCTGCCTGCAGAAGCACAACCATTTTTCTGTCTGCATTTGCATTATATATTCAAAATAAATTAAACACGTGAAACCTGCATTAAGAATGTATTTTTTATTAAGCTACAGAAAATAATTGGCACTGAAATTTCTTTTCACATACCATTCATGAGGTTAAGTCTTTTGAAAACTAAAACACAAAACAAACACAACGAAGAAAAACCCAATCAAAACCTACAACAATTTTACATAGAGATAGCAGCATTTCAACTAAAGCATGCTGCCTCCACAGTTCTATTGTAAGCCATGCTTCATTTCTTTTGACTTTCTCTTCAGTTAATCATTGGGTTTCCTAAATACAAATTCATTATGACAATAATCAGGTTTTAATTTAAATTTAAATGCATTCCTTAGTGCATCCAGTCAAGCTGTCTTCCTTCCTTCCTTCTGATGTGGCTTTTTGGGGGAAAGTGAGTGCAACTTCATAGAATTTTTTTCTGTCTTTGTCATTGTTTAGTCAGTCATTATTTCAGAGACAGACTCTGAACCTTTTACAGTCATTGGCATGGTGAGGCTGTTGTCATTGACTGGTCTCAGAGTGAGAGTGGAAAAGGGTCCTAGAATAATGAATTTGTGATTCTGCACAGAAGGGTTGGGAGAGCTGGGAAGACATCTTGAAAAATACAAAGCCTGAGGTAATTTCTTGTCTTATGCTGTATGTTGCTATTTCAAGAAATAGCAGTGATCAGTTGTTTAAAAGAGTAAGAGGGAAGAAAATATTTATCCCAGTATTGCAGGCTTCTTGTGCTTGTTTATTTTGACGACTACAATTCTGTGACATACTGCAGCACGGCCCTTCAATAGCTGAACAGCTGACAAAATAGAAAACCAGTCAGAGCAGCTTCTTTGGTGGGTTAGTGCTCACCACACAGGCATGTTCTTTCATCTAAATTTCAAAAGTAGTACAACATTTTTCTTTCAAAAGTTTGGATTGGAGCAGGGCTAATCTAGAGTTGGTATGGCCCTTTTTCTGTTGTGTGTTATTTTCAGCAAGGGCAGTGACTTTGCTTAATGTCAGCTGCCAACACAAGAAGTCAGGACAGCAACAAGCCTCTGCCTTTGTCAGAAACATCTGCATGAAGTGGGGAGTGTCACATGTGCTGCTTATATCCAGGGGCCTGAGTTCAAATAAATAATGAAATAGCATTTCTTGCTTTGATTTCCAATTGTGCTTTTACTTCATTCCATCACCTTGCTCAATTCAGTTAAGTTTATCTGTTTGTAAAATATGTTCCATAATACTTGCTTGATTTGCTGTGATTAAATCCTCTGCTATTAGTTTAGGTCCACTTTCTTCTTGTTACTTTATACATCATAAGAAATCAAATTTTCTCCTTTGGAGGAAGTATTACCTTCATACATAATGTAAACAGAGTAGCATAAAATTCTGAGATGAATTAGGGGAAGCTGGGCAGCTGGGAACACAGAAAATAGCATGGACATTCTTTTCAAAGAAAGCTGGAGGTGTTGGGTGTTGAACCAGCACTCGGGAATTCATCAGTCCTGGGTTATCTGCTCTTTTTTCTAATGCGGCTAACCTGATTTTTTAGCAATTTATTAAAGCATTTTAGGAAATCCTTGAAAGTGTCCAAAAATAATGATATAAACCACATCTTTTGTGTGAACTGTGCAAAGTGAGCCATAGAAACCAATATCTGGTAGGACTGAAGTTTCTTGAACATGTATTTTATCAAACTGACAAATGAAAAACTGTGTTTTTAAAATTAAAAGAACAGCCAATTTGTCATGAATTTTAATCTAGACTAACCCTCAGCCTTTCCTTCTTGCATGTCCTCACATAATTTCTGTAATTGGTTTTAGTAGTTATGTACATTTATTTAAATGCTTTATCTGGAATCAAATACTCTTTTTGATTTAGATGTAAATTAAAATTACAGACATTCTTGATGTTAAGTCAGCCTATAACAAAGCTCAGTTGTTTGGCTCTTATGAGACAGAGGTGTAACAGTTCTACACATGGGTTGCTTGAAACCAGCTACTGGAAGGTGTGCTGTACACATTTTCCTGGATTTTTAAAAACTATTTTAGCATCCTGACACAGTGCCTCATTGGTATAAACTGCTGCCAGCAGTAAATACAAATTTAGTGTGTCCCCAGCCTGCTTTGTGAAATTATGGCACCACGTTTTGAAGCTATGCCAGTTTAGGTTACAAGGAAAAGCGCTGCTAGCTCTGGCTTGCTACTGTCAATGTAGAGCCTTAAAATTATGATTAATGGGGAATTGGTGGAATTCAGTCCTGCCCAGGAAGACTTAAGAGGGAAAGGAGAAAGGAATAGGTATCACAGTTCTGGCACTTCATTTGTTTTCTTGGAACCTGATTCTCCTCTGCCTGAAATCTGCTAGAAGTTAGGGAAGATCAGTAGAGTTTGATTATGAGAGCTGGGCAGGAAGGCAGTGCTCTAGGTTGTGTTAACACAGGATAATTTGAATTTGGTGCTGTTTTTCTTCCCCGCTCTTTTCTCCTCTGCCAAATTCACTTTACTTTGGCACTGTTTCGTCTGTGACCTTTACCTCTTAATTGCTTCTGGGTTTTGTTACTTATTTTCCTTCATTATCTTCATCATCTAACCTAAGTGATTGCCACTGCTCACACGTCCTTCTCCAAAGGTAGGAACCAGAATTCAAATCCAGGAGAAAGTGCTTGGATGGCATTAACAGCTGAACCCCAGTCAGTGGGTAAAAGTTAGTGGACTGAAGAGTTGGTCACACTGTTTTCCCAGAGTTTTAGCATAGACAAGTGGCAGCTTGGAGACTCCCCTTGTCACCGGGAGACAGGAGAGAGAAGAAGGAAAAGAAGCCTCCTGAGAGCTTCATTTTCGTGTCTGAAAAGCTGTGCTTACTCTTATTTTATCCCTGTAACTATTTCATCCTCCTTCCAAATGCCTCTGTTGCTGCTACTTGCCTTCCTCAGCTGTAAAACAGCAACAGCACCTGATCTGCCACCTGATGCTGGGGTGATTCTTGGTTTGAAATTCCTCTGAACACACAAAGTGTGAGCATTGCTTATCTGCTCTTGCTTATCTATTATTATCCTATAAATATTTCACCATGGGCATTCATTTTAATTGCTCCATATATTTATTCATCAGAAATCCTCTCTTCCTTGTAGTTTGGAAATATATCTGAATGGCATACAAGCAAAATCTGACTAGGGAAATGCTGGTATGGACTGCAGGTATATTGATTTGTCCCTTTAGTGCAATGTTTGTGACAGGTGATGTCCAGGGAAGAGAACAGCTATGTCACTTGTGCAGAAGAGCCTTCAAAAGAAAAAAAAAATCTTCACTAAAACTGCCAGAAATACCCACAATTTCATTCTGATGCCGTTGAGGTAACTTAATCCTTCTGTATCTGGTACTTTTTGTTTTGTGGTTGTGTTATAGCTGTGCAACAAAATTGAAAAGAAATAAGTAGCGTGCTTGGGGTGAATTTCACATCATTAAATTGAAGCATATCATTTCCTTAAAAAAGTTAACATGGCAAGAGATTTAAAATGTGGGTTAATTTTAATAGATACAAATTACTGTAATCACATCAGGAGATAAATTACTGTAATCATGTCCCCTTAAATCTTTCAGTGATTATAATGCCCTTGTATCAGTGTCATGTTTCTAACAAGATATTAATTTCTTGTCATGCGTGGTCTTTAATGGGTATAACTCTGTATGTTGGAGCCCATTGCTCTTGGGGGACAGTTACCACTTTCAGTGGCAAAAAACAAGATGGGCAAAGGCAAGAGAAGTTAGAGGAAGTGGATAACTCTGAGTCCATCCTGTCCTCTCTGCTGGAGGTCCAGGTCATCCCTCCTCCTGTTTTGGAAACAGCTGTAGTGATTGCACAGGCATACTGGAATCCAAGGAGACACCCAACGCCAACATTGACTTCTCCCAATTTAATGAAAAAGCTGTGGGGAAAGGAAAATCTCTCAGGGGCCCTGAGGTCTGTGTGATTACAAGGAGTTTTTTTTCCTCCACTGCTGTGGAAGCACCCTGGAATTCACCTAGAATTCGCACACTACCCAGAGATCCTCTGTAGAGAAACCTATGGATATTTACAATGACAAAAGAAAATAGCTATGACAGTGGAAAGCACTTTTTTTTTTTTTTTTTTTTTGTACAAATGTAAGAGTAAAATGCTATACTATTTAGCTCCTGTTTTCATCAAAGTCCATGTGGAATTCTGTGAGTCAAAACAAGGGAAAGGAATCTGTTTTGTAACATTTTTGGTATGGGAAAGGGAAAAGGAATTGTTCTGCACTTGAAGCTTCTGCAGCATAATCAGAGGGGTGTTCAGAATTTATAGATGTTTCCTGTGTCAGGGACTTTTTCCCCTCCTTTTGGGTCAATTTTCAGGGGAAAAAAAAAGAATGAAAACAAAAGGAAGTGACTTTCATACTTCTGATTTGCTTTTCACCAACTCCTTGCTTGATAGCAGCTTTGACAACCTACAGTTTAAATAACTGTACTTTTGAGAAATATATTGTCCAGTGAAATATTTTCCTTACTTCATCTTAATGACTGGGACTGTTCATTGAGAATAAACATGTAAATAATGTTATTACCATGGAGCAGAGTTAATAGCCTCTAATGGCCTAGGACCTGTGAACAATCATGCCCATGAGGAACTCCTTACACAAATGGTCCTGGTAAACTCAACAGGAGTCTTCATGTGGTAAAATTACTCATACAAGTGAGTGTTTGAGAGGAAAATGTCATTGTTCCTCTCCCACATTCCTCCTGTTTCTCCGTGAAAGAAAGCCAGCACACGAACATCAGAAGGCATTTTTGGTCTAATATGTCCCAAATAAGGATTTAATCTAGACTAAACAACTGTTTTGAGTATTTGCTGTAACTGTTATTGAAAATGTTTTGAATTTTTCTATTCACTTTCTAGCTTTTGGTTCTTGATTTAAATCATCTGTAGTGTTCCTACTTAGTGTGTTCACTTGGTATTTAATGTTTAGAATGTCTGTTTAGTACACTTTAATAACCTCTACAGTTCAGCTGCATTTTACTTAAAAAGCATTCATTACTAAAAAGGTTTTGGAATGAGTGATTCATCAAAGAAGCTAAAATAGCTCAATCTTGTGTCCTGCTAACAAGACACAAGATATTTGTTTAATTGTAAGTGCATATTCAAAGCATTTACAATTAGCTGTAGCATAGTTGTGAAAGAAATACTGTCTAGAAGGAGCTGTCATTTTTGTCTGACATGAGGTTACTTCAAAAGGCACAATTCCCCTGCAGGTACTGAAGTTATCCAATTACACTTCTTGTTTGTTTATTATAATTAGTGTGTTTTGGTAGAGCTTTTCATGGAGAAATTAAAACTAGCTGATAAAACAGCTACTCTCCTGAACCAGGTAATAAAACTGACCAAAATAGACCTGTGAGTTCTAGGAGCAGGTGTGCAAAATTTCCAGTGGTGATTTTAGTGGGCTTTGTTTGGTTTGGTTTTGGTTGGTTTTATTTTTCTACCGTATAATCCTTGATCCTAAAGGTAATATAATAACTATCTGCTTTTCATTTAGGCTGATTGTGAGTCAAATCTGTATCTGCTGAGAAGTTAACTGATGCACCCTCTAATTAAGTCTCTGCAGCACCTTCCTCCTACATAAATGGGCTGGTGAATTCCTGCTTGTTCCTGTGGCCACCCGTGCAACGGAGGGACCCATCTGAGTGACAGGTACTTGCATCCATCTGGAATTTTTAATCACAGCTTAACACTTGTCAGCTTCAAAGTATACACTGTGGGGAAATTAGTGTCACATCATGTGATGCAGTAGTTGCAGGGCTGCAAAGAAAACAGATTGTTTGATTATTTTTTTGCTTCCATGGCTAAGGTTAACTGTCCGGACAGCTGCGAGTGCAGCCTGCAAGGCGTGCTGCTTTATCTGATTGGTCTCAGTCTTGATCTGGCACATGAAAGGAAATGTGAGGAAGTTTCCAGCAGAGATCATTTTGCAAGTCCAAAGATAAGGGCAAGGTCAAGTTCACTCGTGTTTCCACAGTATCTGGTTACAAACACCAACCCAAGTGCCACGCAGATAATTCCAGTTTAGTCTGGCAGTGGTTTGCACCTTCAGCAGATTTGCCTCGCTGGAGTATTTTTCATGTTCTGTTCACCAGCATCAAAAAGACCCACCACAGTAAATCAAAATTGCCTTTCTCAAAAGGTGACTTTTCCTTCTAGGGAGCAAACACATGGTGATTTTATCCAAGTTCTGATGGGTAACTTGCACTGGTGCTGCCAGCCTCCCATGGGGCTGCAGGGAAATGTTAATGCTTAGTTAAGAGTAAGTTGTTATTATCTGTGTTACATTATTTTAGCACATAAGGTTTCTCCTGTAGGAAACTACCATTTCTTCCATGCCTTCAGAACTGGGGAGTTACTGCAGGAATATATGAGGTGGGAAAATAGAGCTGCTTTTTAAAATTATTTTAGTTTATTTTTTAAACAGTGTCCTTTATGGTTACAGTGACTAGAGTGTGAAACTTGAGAGCTGTGGCCTGAGGGTGGAAGGAGCTGTCTCTGCCCCATGAGGCTCACCAAAAACATTTCCTGAGTTATGGATGAGCATTGCCTTACAAAACCCAGCCCTACACACTGAAAACTGTTCCAGTCTCAGCGCTGGCTCCTCAGTTTGTAAAGGTTTATCTTAATTCCACCAAGGTCTTGGTGAGATTTCCTAATTGCTTTTTAATTTCTTAATTATGTACATTGTTATGCTGCAATGCTTTATGGCTTTATGTAATCAGTTTTTGTTATGGCAGAGTTGCTGGTTAGTGGTGCATTTCAGTAAAAACCACAATTTAAATTTTTCTCTTAGCTGCTGCTACAAGCAGTAAATTCTGTGGTTGAAGGAAGGAGCATATTGAGTGAGCCTGTGCACTCTTCCATTCAATCACCTCAAATGCTGTTTTGTGTATGCTGTGCCTGAGGAACCGGTCTGCACACTTGTGACTGCAGTGTAATGTATAGTTCTCAATATCTTCCGCAGAGAAGCAGAAGCTGTAAGGGTTTTTCTGGTTTTTTGTGGGGTTGTTTTTTTTTTTTTTTTTTTTTTGTTTTTGAGGTCTGCATTTTTCTTCAATTCAAAAAGGAAAGTTGTCATCCCCCAAGTTAAAAATCCATACAGTCAAATAAGCTGGCCTTCTTTCATGAAAATGTTTGCTATCTCTACCATGAAAACAGAAGATTACAAATTGGCTGTAGAATATCTTGATAGCTCTCATGTAAATTATTCTACCACTCACATCAGTAAGCACAGTACACTGGGTAGAGAGATGCTTTTCTGAATCTTTTTGGGATCTGTTTTCAGAGAGACAATTACAGTGGTGCAAACTATAATATAATAGTGAAATTAAGGTGAAGTGAATGATGTGCTGCTACACAAAGCTTGAAAAGACAGAGTACTGATCTGTTAAACATGAGTTACAGTTTTATTTTGTTGTAAATTCTCCAAGATTCTAGTCTGTTTTGGATTTTGGAATGGGTGGGTGGTGGTACCTCTTTTGTCTTTAGAAAAGCATCTTTTATAATTAAAGAGGCACCGTCCTGGGACGCTCTGGTCACTTGGATGGTTATTAGGGAGAGCTGTGTGCAAGCTGGCTAAATTAAACCCTCAGTCCACTGTGCTCTGAGAGGAGACTCATACCCAAAGGAGCATGTCCTGCCCTCATGTCTCCTTTGCTGACATTATTAAGGGCTGGGATGATTTCCTGGGCAATAATGATGGGTCCACGTCCAGCAATCAATCCAGACATGGGAGCAGTGTGCCCAAAACGTTCAGTGCTAGGTGTTAGGGCAATTCCTGCACCATTTCTATCACTTCCTTCATTTACAAGTTCTGACTGTCTCAAGGCATTTCTCTGCTTTTCTGTTCTGCTTTCATAATTTTTTCCCAATACCATGAAACCATGTTTAACTTCATGTAGTGCTTTCTTCCAGGGAGAGCTGAACTCCATACAAATTTATCCTGATCAGTCTGTGTCCAATCTGTTACTGGCTTGATCAGATAGAAATGGATGATATCAGTGAAGCTGGCACATTGCTTCTAACCTTTCCTGATGGTATATTCAATACTTGAAAATACCAAAGATCTAAATTTAAAGGAAGATCTATAAAATCACTGTCCCTTTTCCAAGAGATATATAATATGTATCTCATGTCTCTAAAAGTCCTAATTTGAAAGCATGTGGTCTTTATTCGTATTTAATGTCTAGGGTAAGACATATTCCCCCAAAATACACCCCTAGCTTTCAACTTTTCCTCATTATTTTTAATGCTTTTTAAAATAAAAGTAATGAGCATTTGCGTTTCAGTGAACATTTGCCTTTCAGTGAATCTGTCCTTCCTTTTCAAAGCAGTGATTTTTTATTATTGACTTTCAAAGAGCAAATCAATCCCACTAAACTGCCGCACTTTTAATCCTAATTATTTTTTTCAATTGCTGTGTTTCTTATTCTACATCTGCATTAGTATGACTTTGTTTTTTTCCCTTTTAAACATAACATTAATACTCATTTATGTCTTTTTACTTTCCAGCTTTATGAAGGCACTGTTGACTCTCACCTTTGTAAATGTCTGCCCCCGAAGTTTTAAATGTTTGCAATAAACACACAATTTTGCTGCCATCATTAGCAGCCATTAGCCATAGATTAGCTGCTTCATTTCAAGTTCAACTTCCATTTCTCCTTAAGTGCCATCAAGAATCCTTCTCTCCTGGCCAGCCTTACAATGGTGGAGTAGGGAGACCAATTTCAAAATTTTAAGAATTGCACAAGTGTAATTTTGACTGCAGTCAGGAATATATCCTCCTTAAGTATTTTCTTCCTTTTTCTTAGCTAGTGGAAATCCTTTGGATATTTCTGACAGTGTATGCCCCCTGGAATGTCTCTGCTAAAATATCCAGACATTCCAAGACGTTGGTGGCAAGATCCTGAATCATAACTGTAGTAAATTTCTGGTGGGTGTTGCTGCCTTTTTAGATCTCTGTGGGAGATCAAACCTTTAATCCATGCAATCAGACTCTGCTGTCATGACTGTGACTCTGCATGTGAAGAAGCAATTCTCCAGTAAGACAATTTATTTCATTGATGTGTTCATGTGACCTAACTAATTCTGAGGTGAGAGCACTGACATCAAGGACAATCTGGCTAGATATGGGCTCTAATTTTGGTCCTCAGATAAATATGGCAAGTGTGCTGTAAGCATGGCATGCACTAGATGAAAGGCAACACTGTTTGTGTTTCTCTGATAATTCTCTGAATTTTTCATTTCTTCTCTCTGTTTGAGTTTGAGTTTGAAAAGCAAAAACAGCCAAAAGGAGATTGTTTTGGAGAGAAGTGATGGCCAACTTTGGATAGCAGTCAAGGAAACCTCAGTGGGGTCATGATTCAATTACAAGGAGGTAAGAAAAGTTCTAACAAGGACTTCCACGTGAACCAAATTTATATTTTAGAAATTCCACATGTTCTGTTGTTGATTGTAATTAATATTCAGCATCCATACACGTTTACACCAGGTGAAGAGCAGAGGCTGCCTAGGTCTCCTGGGAAAGCCCCTTGCACAGCATGTACAGCAGCTTTTCCTCCCTGTAACTCAGACTTTCCATCCCTTTCCCCTCAGGTCCGTGTGGATTCCTCACCTGCTGATATTTGTGCTACAGCCGTGTATCTTTTCCTAAGGTTTGGGAAGAGAAGCCTTAGCACCTCCTCACTGGAACAGGAGAGACACTTGTCTGAGTTGGCAAGGTGATCTCAAAGCTGCAGAATAAGATTTAAAAGTCTTGGTCAAAGGGAGAGGCCAGAGCAATATCAAGTCATCTTAGAAATTTTGACTTTAGTTACAGAGACCTGCTACCCTCAAACACATTGGGAAACCACACTGATGAGCTTTGCCAGGGTCAGGCTGTGGGGAGGTGCTGTAACACGGGCTGCTTCAGAAATACAAATGTTTTCTTCTCTGATTTTTAATTTTTTTTCTGCATTCTACCCAAATTAATAATTTCTTTGATAAAGTTGCTCCTGATTTACACACAAACACGCCAGTCCCCTTCTGTTCCTGTCTATCTTAGAAGAAGCATGAGGAGTTCAGCTTTTCCTCACTCAATTTTTAGTAAAACACAATAATTATTTTTTAAATAGAAAACAGACTTAGGCTAGGGATCTTGCATTTTGAAAGGCACCATTTAAAAAACCAAAGACAGATGGTCTCTTGTACCCATAATTTCTTCTTATAAAATGCAATTTGAATTATTCTCAGTGGATTCAGAATATCTTTTTTTTCTATGCATAAGCCAATTTTTTTCCCTCCAGCCTACAGAAGAATATACTAGATAATAAATACTTGATGCATAATTTGTTGCTCACTGTGAGATGCCTCTTAAATATTTTGTTTACATTGTTTACATGTACATATATTGCAACCTAACAATAATACAAGCTGTATTGAAAACTCATGTACATTATTCAGGTACTTTAGTGCATAGAATCCAATAATTCTTTTACAGAATTGACAGAAAAAGTTTTAAGGATGCAAATTTCCTGGTAAATGAATCCTTCAATATTTCAATTTATGTTACAGTTAAGGCCAGTAGGAAGGATAAAATGCAGTGGTCCTGCACTGGTTTTAGGGCAGCTGTCTGTGCTCTGAAGGCTGCTACACATCCATCTCTGTCCTCTTGCTTTTGCAAATTCTATAATCCCAATCTGGATGCTGTACTTGACTTTTCCCTTTTAATAAGAGGTTAAATGTATTTTTAAACAGTGATTGTGTTAAAGGTTTTTCCTCTTCTCTGAAAGGGCTTTGTGGCCTCTGATTTTTCCAAGTCCTGGAAGCTTAAAGCCAAATGTTCCCATTAGGGTGGTTTAGGTGGATATGGACTTTCAGGAGGGATGTTCAGATGTGTTTTATGTTCAGCACTAAGGAAGGGACACAAATCTCATGTCTCCAAGCCAACAGGCTGTCCCCTCAGCAGCCTTGCATGGGATGACTTCTGTGTGGGGTAAGGATGAATCCTGTGGCTGCTCTTCTTGGTGACAGCAGAAACCAATGTCAGGAAAATTAATTCACTGTATTTCCTCCTGGGTCTTTCTTACATCTCTAAAGAGGAAATCCATGCATGAAAAATCTAAATATCTAAATATCAAGTGATATTTAAAAAAGACAACATCTGAATTGAAGTCCCTGAGCCAGAAATTACTGGGGCTTGGGAGAGGACACCAGGGGAAGTGTTGATTACTCTCCTGTTACAGTCTTGGGTTCTCTTTGTCCAGGTAATCCTCCCTGCAATGGCAGCAGAGGGAGACAAAACAGCTGAGCTGGCTGATCTAAACTGCATGTGTTGTGTGTTTCCCACAGCACCCTGACTGCACCCCTGAGCACAGGACATGCACAGTCTGGGGCAAGGTCCTGTGTGATGAAAATTCATCTTGTGCTGCTTCAAAACACCACATCATCTTTAACAGCTAGTAACAATCATAATGCAATTATTTTATTTCATGGCTCTGGGGAGAACAAGACACAAAGGGTTTTGTTTGTTTGTTTTTTTTTTTTTTGTTTTTTTTTTTTTTTTTTGTTTTGTTTTTTTTTGTTGGGGCATGTGTGGCTTTTTTATCACTGTTAAGCTGCAGTGTAAAATCTGCTGTGTGAGGGGCATCTCCTGACCCTCCCTGGTGCTCTGCAGGGTGGATGTGCAGCTCTCTGTCCCTGTGAGCAGCTGCCACCCTGGTGGCTTTGCCTCTGCTGCCTGCACAGAGCCCGTGAGGAACAACAGGCAAAGACTGACCCGAGCAGGGTGGGGTGGGGCAGTGAGGTCCCACAGTCTGGCAGCTCTGCTGTAAATGTTTGAGACAGAAATTGCCCCTTGAGCTGTGCTGGAGCTGCCACAGATCCTGGTCCCATGGGCCTCCAGCCCCGCCCGTTTTCTCACTTTATGAGACAGAAGCAGTAGAATAACAAAAGATGTTCTGACACTTTTCACTGGCTTTTCCCCCCCTCTCTTTGTCTGGGATTATGCTGAATATAACTTAAGCCCTAGTGCCCTCTTCTGATCTTGAATTAGGTGTCAGCTCCCAGCACACCTGTCCCTGCAGCTCCTGCTCAGCAGCCAATTGTTTGAAGTTAGGCAAGCATTTGGGGACACAGATATTTTAATTTGTAATCAGCTTTAAAGCTTTCAACGTTTACTCTGATCAGAAACAGCAGCTTAGTCATAAATTAGCCTTTTCTATTTAAAAAAACATTTTTTGTCTCCCAGCAGGGGCAGTAGGCTTGATGTGAAGTCCACAGAAGTGAAGGGATAAACCCTTATCAGCTCTGGCCCAGCCCCTCACACAGCACACAGAGTCACTTAGGCTGAAAGAGGTAAACTGTTACAAGATCTTCAAGGAACAAAGACTGATTAAGGATAATCTTGTAGAAAATGTTACATTTTTTGGATGTATTTAACATGGGAAATGTTGGTAAGTGATAATTGTACAATTCCTTGGCTTTTCAGTGCTAGTAACCCAAATTTAGTTTGTGTCCTTATGTGCAGACATGTGTAATGTGTATTAGGTATATCTCTGACACTCAGCTGCAGACTGTATGAATTAGTTCATTCATCATTTCCAGGCTGCCACCTCTGGGATGGAAGGCAGCAGCTGGCAGGGAGCACAGAGCAGCTCTGCACAGCATTCTCAAGGCCAAGCCAGAAACCCTGCATCCAGGTTGTACTGTAGGGAGGTTCCACACACAGGGAGCTAGAAACCTCTTCTCTGCAAAAACACACACTTGCTTTCTAAAACCATACGTTTTACTGATAGCCATTGAAAAAAAAATTACTATATTTGCCCATAAGGCATATGATATATCTGAAGTATGCTAAATGTTGCTAAATCTTCTAACACTAAATTTACTGCAAAATAAGGTTATGAATTAATTTTCACAGTCCTGGCTTTCCTAGACTGTGGCTGTTTGCTTATGTTTTAAGCAGATAATATTCTGCAAACTGAGAGTTGTGCAACTGCAAATAAACATTCTCTACTGACCAAACTACTTGTTGATAATTTTAGATGGGAATTTTTGAGAGACTGATGGGCAGATTAACACTAAAGGCCTCTCTAGCAAGTGGTATAACAACATATTAAGCAACAAAAGGGATATTTATAGCTCTTTGCTGGAATATGAGTTTTCCAGCTCTCTATTGCCATCTTGAGTCCCTGACTGCCTCACACAGAAAAAACAAATTGGGGCGTAACACCGACAGAGACAAAAGGAAAATACATTTCCACTCCTGATGGCCAGAGCCCTCTCCAGTTACCAGGCAAAAGCCACCAGGTATCAGAGAAACAGCATTATTTCCTTTATTTGAGGTGATACACACTGTGGCACGCTGCAGGGAGAGCTGAAGGGAAATGCCAGGGCAGTGGGATGTCGCTGCACATTTGTTTTGAGGGCTTGCAGAACGAGCTCCTTGGAAAGCAGCTGAGCTTGGGGCCCGTGGGGAATTCTTGGACATGTGCACCCTGCAGACATCTCTGGCTGTCAGAGGAGCCAGGCAGAGTTTAGAGTATATTTGCAGGTGGATTGTAAAACGCTGAAAGGACTATTCTTCCTCCTGTGCAGAGGTTTTGATACCATTCTCTTTGTCCTATAATTGCCCTTCACAAATTTCTCACCTTCCTCTGAGAATCACTAAGGTGGGCACTGCAGTACCTGATCCACCCTGTGATATTTTAGTATGTAGTTACTACATACTAAAGAAAACCTATGGATTTCCAAGCTCTTTGGGAGAGGTGCCATGAAAAGAAGCCCGAGGCCTTTCCTATGTGGGCATTTCTCTAACACCTCCTGCTTCCTACCTCATAATGTTCAGACTCCTTTTTATTGCTTTATAACTTTCAGAAGTCCTTCTTTTTATTGTTATTATTCCTATTCTCTCCCACTGCCTTCTTTCACACTTGGTAGCAGTGTTTTCAGCCAGTATTCAGAATATTTTATGAGTAATGAGTGTCCCAGGCAGAAGGAATACATTGTGAGATCATTGTTACTAATTGAATACTTGGTGGGGGATCTCTTCTCCTCCACTGAGTGCTTGACATAGACTGAAAATAAGTTGCTAATACTTGATTCTAATAAATCTACTGCCCATAGCCTGTTTTAGAGTCTTAAGTATATTTGGGCACAATATCAGCAATCTGTACTTTCCTCTTCCAAACGAAGGATACTGTTTGAAGGAGCCATTAAAACTCCTTTTTAATAAATCTCAGAGTAGCAGCTGACACTAACACAGTTTCAGCTGGGCTAGCACAGGGGTAGATTAAACCCTGATGAAAACAGCCTGGATTTTCCACTCTGTTTTCTGCTGCTCTGTACTGCAGCAAATATTGGTCCTCCCTCTTGCTTTGCTGTCCTGGGCATTTCTGCAGTGCCAGGCTGGTACAAAGGGCTCCTACAAAGGCTGGTACAAAAAGCCCCTGCCTGGGACTGGGGTGAGATGCAGGTGCCATTCCTCAATGCCCAAATGCAAGGAAAACTCTGAAGGTGTCAGGGTTCTGGGCTGTTCCTCCGTAGAATAACTGGCACAAAGTAAAACTGAATGTTTGCTGAATATTTTGAGCTGGCTGTATCTGAACAGATGGGGGTCTCCCCAGGCCTCTGGGAACCTCAGGTGGTTTTGTACTCATTTCAGAATTGCTTTACCCTCCTAGGATCTGGGTGGTTCCTCAGGTATTGGTAATGTATCAGACTTAGCATTTCTTCAAAAAAATGGCCTCATTTATTGGATTGTGCCTTCTGCTAAGAGGTACTCTGGCACACCCATCCTTGGCTCCCAGAATTCATGGAGCTGATTATTTTTAATAACATTCTTGGAATAATCTCTGGATGGTGTATATTTGCATTTGTATTGATGTCATCATACTGCTGCAGTTCTGTCTTCAATACTCCTTTTTATATATTTCCTGCAAGTGCCACATTAAATGATCATGGGATTCTTGGAAAAGCAACAGGAAATTATATAATGGTGCCCACAAGTCTGTGTATTGACTTTTCCACAGACTTGCTGGTCCCTGAGCCTAAAAATTGTTGGTAAAACAAAGATATTTGATCTTATTTTCTGTTCTTGATTCTTCTTACTGTCTGAGAAGTCCTGGTCTTTTGCTGTTCTATTATGAAAAACCAAAAAAGATAAAAAGAGCTAATTATAGAAATTATTGTGGGTTTAATTATAAGGATACTTGTTTAATTTAGTTGCTTTGCATTCTTAAGTAACTATCAGCAGGAATTCAGATGGACACACTGTCATTTGCAGTAAGCTACAACTGGCACTTAGATGAGCAGAAATGTCTGTAATGGAATCATAGCCCTGGTATAAAACCTGTAAGACATTGAAAGAAATAATTGCCTTTTAAGTCTACCTCAGAACATTCAGACCTTAAAGCATAAGCTGTAAAAATGGAGGAAAGCTACAGGGAAAACTGTTTGTGGCATTGTTTCTCAGAAACCTTACACAGGTCATAAGCTGTTGAGGACAAGGCAAAGGTTTCTATGGAAAATTGTAGAAAAACAACTGATGCCAATGTCACAGAAACAAGAATATCTCTAAGACCTGGGCTTTTGGCCATGTCTAAGGGGTTTTCAAGGTGCTTTGTGGAATATTTTGAATATTTATAGCTGAGAATTCAAAATCCTTCTCTTTGATGGGCTGAAAATAGTTTTGGTTTTGAAGATACAGTGACTCTTTCTGGTTTGTGGTGGTTTTACCAAATAACTTTCCCCTCTTATGAGTTTAGTTTTTATCTGAGGGATAACACATCCCCTGGATGCTGGAAATAACCAACATATTACACTGCCTAGAGCCTTCCCGTCTCATTTGGACAATCCCTTCAGTAAATTCCCTTCTCACCCAGGGTGATTCCTTGATCAGGCCAAGCTGGGTTTCCAGCACATTCCTTTGGAAGTCTCATCCCTGGGTGAGTCCCCGTGCAAGAGCGGCGCTGTGGGCTGGTGGCACTGCCGCAGGGCTGGCTGTCCCTTGTGCCCTGCTGCTGCCAGCGCTGCCAGGAGCCCTCAGTGCTAGGAATGAGTGATACACGGACAGCCACAAGCCCACAGGAAGGCCAAGAGCAGTCAGCCTGCTCTGAAACCTGCAGCGGAGCCTTTCTCTGTGTTGAAAAAGCTCTGGTACCAGAAACACTCTGATCTTACCAGGGTGAGGTCAAAAAGTGCTGGTTTGCCCTGCGGCAGCGTGCTTGACTCCAGAAGCAGATGAAATTAATCTCTCCTGATCTCTCCACTGGGGCTGCTGGATGGTTTCCAAGGCTGGGGCAGGCCTGTGGAGCATCAGCTCGGGCACTTCAGGGCTCCTGGGGTCTGAAAAAAGACACATCCTATAAATGCTGCTCCAGTTCTCCACTCAGGGCTGGCAGCTCTGCAGAGAGCCGAGCCCAGGATGCAAGGCAGATTTGAGATTTGCTTTACTCCTCACAGGACCCAAACCAAGTGCAGCTGCCCTGGCTGGAGCTCATCAGTCCCACATTTCACCCTCCAGAACAGACACATTGACAGTTGTCCTAAAGCACTAAGCTCTCATGGTAATTTGAACAAACAAAACCCAAAGACGTTTGGGGTGTGACTGCTGAGAGCATTTTAACTCCGCAGGCACGAGATCCTCACACCTACTGTAATTCCTGAGATTCCTACTTCACAGTTAATTGAAACTGGATATTAATGTGTATTTTCTGAATGAGAACAGCCTCTCTGGCATTTATTTTGTTAAGATACACACCTTTTGACACAAACTTGGAATAAAACTGAGAATGGCACAATGTCGTAATATGCTGAACAGAAAGTTTACTGAAATATTGTTAATTTTCTTCCCCTCCAGCACAGAACAACTGTTTTACTGTGCTACACAAGCTATTTGCTTCCTACTGCTTGGGAGTTTAGCCTGTTTGGAGAGACTGCAAAAAGTATTGGAAACCTCTAGTGTATTTCCTGAAAAAGTAATCCTCTTTAGCTGTTTACCTACATCTTTTGCCAAAGCAGATTTTTGTAGCCACGTTATACTACTATCAAAAAGATTTTATTCAGCTGAGGAAGCAAATGAGACAAATATGTTTTGTCATGACTGAGAATGAAGAAAAGTTAAGTTTCTTTCCATTGTAAATATTTACACATTGGGTAGTGTAAAAATTTACTTTGAGGTATTTACAGTGGGAACACTGACTGTTTTTTCAATAGCCATAATGTTCTGAATGTTGTTGCTAAAGCTTAGTGACTCTTTCTTTTGTTTTCTGACAGATTGCATGATGAAATGTCAGGTAATACACTTTCAGAGCACGCACCATCATCCTGTTTTATTGGTTTAATCAGTGTGAAAGGAATGATTTAATTCACTATCCAATTACATTCCTGAGTATGTTCATTTTAATAGGCTCAGTATTTCCCTAATTTATCTGCTAATCATTAGAAATGCATTTGGCCTCAGCTCAGAGACTGCTGTGTCCCGGGGTTCAAGCTGGGATTAGCACAGTTCTAAGAAATCCAGAGCAAGTCTGACTAATGCAATCAGAGTACTTTGCATACACTCAGGTGAGAGCAAGTGGGGCTGGTGGTTTGTGTGCTGGGCTCTGTGTGCCCATCTCCACAGGCACCCACAGAGGTCAGGATTTTCCCTCGCTGATACAACTTCCTTAGCAGGGTTTAATTACCAGGAAAAGTGCACGCAGTGACAGAAAATCAGTTTATCATGTAGTTAAACTGGCCTTGCACTTGGATGCTTTTGAGCTGGGTGAGTACTTTGGTTGTAGTGGCTGTACTTTAAATGGATCTCTGTGTCTTCTCTGGAATAAAATTTTTTTCTGAAAATTTACCACCTGGTAGGAGTCAGGAAAGGCTGAGATTTACTTGCAGCATTATCACAAACTTGTTCAGCACAAATCTGAAAATTGAATTTATAATTCAGGGATTAGTTTTGCTAGGATACTTTCCCCACAGCAAATTAAATGCCTTGAAAACATTGCTCATCCCTCTTAACTGACAGAAAATACTCTTTATTATTTATTTATGGAATTATGAATAGTATTGATTTCTACAGTGTTATCTATATAACTAGATGTTTATTAGAAATAAGCAATGCCCAAGCAGTGAAATTAAAGAGATTTTTTTTAGATGTCTAAAATTTTATCGTGTTGTTATTTGGACCTGCCATAAAAACAGTGCCAAGAAGGTTTCTAATATCTGAGGGCATACTGCTACATAAGAACTTCTCTCAAGAGTAATATTTTTTAATATATGATTAGGTGATTCCATAAATCCTTGAGTCTTTATTTTCCTACAAAATGCAGTGTTTGGATGTGATATAATGTTCTGTTTCCTGTTTCCAGAGCTCTCTGGATTCCCAAAAAAAAAAAACAAAACAAATTGACAACAAGAGTTACTCATGTCCCCAAAAGCAAACTCCTACTCTGCAAGAGAAATAGAAATACTTCAGTCTTCTGCAATAGTGTCAGTAGGGTTAGATAAGTCATATAAGAGTCAGATAAGATTTGGGGTCAAGAAGAAAAGATAAATAACTAAAAGTCACCCTATAGTCAATATAATATTTTGTTACAGCTACAATATTTAGCAGAGTCCATATAGACACAACACAGTTTTGATACTTCTATGGGAGAAATTTTATCATTTTAACAGAGCTCCTTTAAGTGAAATATCTGTTTTGATCCCCTCTTGGGAAAACACATTTTCATGTTCCAGGGTGAAACACTTGTTGCTTTTAGCTTTTTATATTTCTAGTTCTGCAGTGAGAGTTGATTGACAAACAGCAAATGCCATGTGCCTCCTCCTCACCCTGCAGCCAGAAGGTTGGGGTTAAAAGTGAGAGGGAAAAATGGGAAAAGAATAAATGAGAGCACAAGAAATTTGGCAGCATCAGAGATCTGTACATACAATTACTGAATGACACATTGAGGCAAGTCAGCTTAATTATAAATCATATGTGGTAAATTTCAGGATAAAAGCATTTTAGAAACTAAATCCCATATTGGTATGTTGCATTATCCTGAAGTGACCCCGGGCAGCCAAATGTTCTTGCAGTCTGTCCTTGGCTCCTTGTTGCATTATACAGGTTCCTAAGCCAAATTTGCAAAGTTAAACATCTGAGCTGTAAATAAAGATCCCTAAAGCCTACTGTGCTTTCCTTGTTTTAAGAGTCCCTTCACAGTATGGCCTCAATTCAACTAAGTACTTAATATGTACTTAAATCCCACTTAAATCAATGGGATTTAAACATTTGCTTAAATGCTTTGCTAAATCATGGCCTATTAAACTGTCTGTGTTGGAGATCAAACTGTAATTTATATTGCTGTGATTTCTTCTTCTGGTGTTAAACATGAGACCCCAAACTACCTTTCACTGTAGTCTTGCTTGACTGAAGCTGAACTGTTCAATGGGAATGTGTGCAAGACCTGTATTCCTCGTGTGCAAGAAACAGGTTTTATTTATTTTGGTCACCAGCTGTTGTCAACTTATGTTCCTGATAAAGTGAAGTCAAATAAGCTCTGTCAAGAGGCTGAATGTTTCTCACACACCATCATTTTGAAGATGAATAGCACAAAATTTTTCTTTTTCAGTAATGAGTGTAACTCCTGGTTAAACCTGGGAACATACAGTTATTTGTACAGATTGTAGATACATGAAAATATTTGAAGAGGAAGGGGGGAAATTTTTATTCTTTTGCTGATTTGTTGGCAATCTCTTCCTGGTGGTTTCTTTTTTTTTTTTGCAAATGCAACTAGGGTTGACAAGAAAAACAGCCTTTTGTAGCTGAGGAGGCAGCAGGAAAAGGAGTTGCCAAAAGAGCCGTCAAGACTCTCCAAGTAATTTGATGTGTAGAGAAAATATGTCAAGATTATTGCAACTGCATATAGTATAAGTTTTTTAGAAGGAAGTCAGATGCTCCACTACGCCTGGGATGCCCACAGAGATTACTCTGGCCTTATCACTGCTTTTTTGGAAAAGAGTGAAGATGAATGGTGGGAAAGTGAGGACACTTCTTGACTTCTTCTCTTCTCTGCTTGTAGTGGAAATCAGCCAAAAATCCAGCTCATATGCCAAGAAAGCCCAAACGAAGAGATGAGTGGAAAATACCAGATGCTTAAATTTGTCTTGGATTTTCTCAAAACTGCTAAGACTGGTTTTCTCCTTAATTAGCCAAATAAGGCATGGAGTGCATTTCTTTTTCATGTACAGATTTTTCTTGGATCCTGTGGGTTAACCACCTCTAGAGCACTGCTGTCCCTGCCAGAGGAGGAGACAGATGTGGCTTTCTTGGACAACATGAAGAGGAGAGAAGTTTGCAGAGGACATCCCATCCTCCTCACCCTCACCCACTGCTGCCCTGCCAGGATTCCCCCAAGACTGAAATTCCTGAGACTGCTGTTGTCTGGAAGCCAGTTTACATTTCTGTCCCGAGAAGGAATTACTCTCAAGGCATGATTTTTTCCAACTAGACAAGATTTATTTTCAGTCCAAGAGTTGTCTTTTGTTCAGTGCTTAGTTTGTTGTGTCACTTGTAATGACTACAGTAATATCTGGAAAAAGAGATAACTAGAAAAGCTTGCAGCACTTGATTATTCTGCTCAGAATATCTGATACAGCCCTTTCAGACAGCAGATGTAAGTGGTATGAATGCATACAATTTCATAGTAATCTCAATATTCCAGTTATTTCCATAATTTTATACAATATACAGATATATTAATATTAATGTCACACTTAGAAAAATGAAATACATGCAGGATAGTTTATGGTTTAAAACAAATGGGTATAAAGGTAATGTTTATATTCATAATATATTAAAATAATAATTTACTACTAATATTTAAAATCCATGTGTCATAATTTGGAAAAGAAACCCTACTTCAGAATCTAAAATATTCCAAAAATTTTAGGCTTCATCACTGATTTGAAGATGCTTGTTATGTATTTTATATATATATATGCACATATATATACTCCTACACACACAAACATATATGTATGTATACATATATGTGTATGTATGTATATATATATATAAAATATATTTGTTTCTCAGCGGGTTTTTTTAAACTACAGTCAGCCACCACAGAACTTCAGTGAAAGGAAGAAAACAGCCATTTTCTGAGCAGGGGAAGTAAATATTTTCTTATCCTTCATGTGTTGTTACAATATCTTTATATCTGTGTGTTTATTGATAAATCTTTCTTTTGCAGCTTCCTTTGTTCCCAAGCTTGGATAAAAAATTATAACTACTTAAAAAAATCTTAGAATGTTGCAGTGCACTTTGTTTCACCTCAAAGGCTGATTTATGAATTGCACATGAAAGTGTTCCATGTTTTCATGTTAGTTTTTTAAGATTTAAATTTCCACAAATATTTACAACTACCCACTCTTTTCTCACAACTAAGAAGCATAGATATAAAAATCCACCCCCTCTGATTTTCACACTCCTTATCACATATTGAATTAAATTAGAAGGGAAAATGGTAGAGAGATTAAATTGCAATTATATTACTTTCTTCAAATGATCATAATTTGATTTAATATCAAATAAAATATTAATAAAGTGCTAACTTTTCTTGGTGGGAAATGCCATTAATGGAACAGTTTCCCAGGGAAACAGAAGCAAAGTGATTAACTGTCCTTTTTGCTTCAGTAATGAGATCTTTCTAAAATAAACAGTTTTGCCTGGTTTAGCATTTGTCTCATGTATTTATGCCCAGTTTGAGAACCTCAGCCTATACGTGGCATGTTCTGGACCTTGTTTGAGGGTCTCTTAACTCTCTTAATTGTCACACTTTTTAGAGGTTGTAAATTTCAAGCAAACTACAAGATAATCCCTTTTAGATTCTATAATTAGTAATAGGGGGGAAATTATATACGTGTCTAATTTCAATGACATAATAACTGAAAGGTTTTTTTGAAAAATAAATGTGAAAGATGTCCATATGCAAGCTCCCATGAAAACATTCAGAGGTTCAAAATTAGATAATTTTAATGTACTCTTATGGTTGGTTTTCATTTACAAAAATTTAACTCCAGAAATGTCCCCCTGTCTAAATGAGGCTTTTTCAATGTTGAAATTAATCAATAAACTCTCCAATAAGAGCCAAGCCTCAAATCCACAAGCACAAAACAACAGCTAGTAATGGCCACGTGAATTGATTTCAGAAGGTTAAATGTGCACATTCAGGGCTTAGAACAAAGTCTTTGTAGCCTTATCCAAAGGGGATATCTGTGTGACTCACATACTTTGCACACACTGTAATAATGAAAATTAAGGGACTGGGTTTAGACGAGGCCATGAAGGTTTATTCATGGTCGAAATTTAGACCAGAGCTTTTTTTTCCTGATAAACAAGGTCCATGGAAGTCTGGCACTGAATAATTTTGTTCCCTCTTGGGGCAGAAAAAAAAAGGATGTAAAAACCCCAAATGTACTAAATATATGTGTGATGGTAGTTTGTTTTTTTGGGGTTTTTTTGGGGTTGGTTGTTTTTTTTTTTTTTGGGGGGGGGGGTGTTTTGTTTTTTGTTTTGTTTTGTTTTTTTTTTTAATTGGTTAATGGTTGGGCACATTTGAAGGACAAAATAGGTTGTTGGCTTCTAAGCTGAGGTTGTGGCTCAGGCTGGCATCAATTGTTTGTTTAAACTTTAGAAGAATCAGTCTGAGAAACGGGTTCATGGTAAAAATGGGGATGTAAATCTGTAAGTAATCATGCCTAAAGCTGGGCTGGGTAGGAATAGGGAGGCTTTGGTTTACTGTTTAGCCAAAGTTTGCTCCAATTGGAATAATTAATGGCTTTGAACAAGTGTAACAATTCTTAACAGCAGAGAAACCTGACAATGAGCCAGGGTTCAACCAAGAGAGGGATAGAGATGGATTTTGGAGAAATCATATGCAGGTTTTCTCTGTGGGACTTTCCAAACTAAGGCTGTTATTAGATATAGGCTAAAAAAGGGATTCTGGGTTGTTTGTCATTTAATACCCGTTGCAGAAGAGGTTTCCAGGCTAAAATCAGCACTGTGTCCTTCAGACCTCAGAAAATTACAATTATCATAAGGACATGTAGAAGTCCCTGGACTAAAGTGTTTGTGTTATCCATGGTAAAACTGTTTCAGACAGATGAGGCAGAGGCTGGATTTCAGCTGTTCACACTCAGAGGGAGTGGCAGCCCTTGGCTGAGGTTGCTGTTTAGGTGCTGTTGATCTTCCTTGTCAGGGCAAAGTTTCCAGGTCTAGGTGACCAGCCAAGCTTTTCCTGCTCAAGCTTGTGTTCAGAATTATGCATATGTTCCTTGGCTGAATTGGAGCTTAAGACCCACGGCTGGTGTCAAGCTAGGAAGTGGCATGGCCAGTTACCAAAAAATCCAAAATGGAAAGGAATGGGTGGTGTAGTGAGCAGGCACCGTGAGCAGTGAATGGCAGCTAAGCATGGGAGAGAGGGAAGGTTTGGCAATCAGTGTAATTAACACAAAGAGCCTAATTGCAGAAAACAGAGATGCAGACGCTTCAAAAGAACTTCCCAAAAAAAGATTGATTTCAAAAAAGCAGAAAGAAAAAATAATCTGATGTTGATTATTTGAATTCTGTGGGACATATAACCAAAAAATGAGCAGAACAAAATGCTAAACGGGAAGGGAAAAAAAATCTAAAAACCAGGCCAATTATTAAATTCTGTTTTTTAAAAAATCACTTTTAATAATATTTTGGCAAATGTCTCAAGGATTTGCATTTTTGAAAGAGGAAATTCTTGCAGTAGCCACATGCATTTGAGGTGCTTTGAGCCCTGTAGCTGAGGGCTCTGCGTGCTCGCTGCGATGCCACAGCCTCTGCAGCCATCTCGTGGGGACACTGTGCCTGGTCACCCAGGAGAGCCAGGCTGGGACACTGAGCTGGGCAGCAGCACAGGCTCACCTCCTGGCTTTGCTTCCCTGTCACAATTAATTTTTTCTGAGGCACAGTAGGCAGAGTCCTACAGCACATGCCAGTGAGTAGTGACTGCACATACTGGTAGGTGATTTCTCACTTGCATTCAGATCCTGGGTGTTTTCTCCCTTCCTCATCATCATAGACTTGCTACAGGAGTGAGCATGCAGAGCCTGGGGCACTGGCTGCAAAGCAGGAAAGGTCCCTTTCATGCTGAAGCTCCATCTCTTGTGTCCTGGCAGAACACACACGCCTTCCCAAAGGAGCCTTGGAAGGGTTGGCTGTGGCTGACAGCAGCACCAATAGGCTGCAAGGCTGAACAATCTATTTCTGTTTCCTCCTCCAGTCAAATCAGATGCATTCTGTTATTCTGTTCTCTCTGATTATACCCTTTCTGATCCCTTTTTGATCCTGCCAACTCAACCAGCCAAATTCAACTTGGGGACGGTATTTCTTTTTTCATAACTGTTTGACTGTCTTCCTCTCTATGTCTTCTTGGCAGTTTTTTGCTTGGCAAATCGGTGAAAGAAAGGCTGCTCATTTCATTGGAATTAGCAATTGTTTTCCTGAGGGTTTTGTTTATTCAGCCTACAGAAAGGCAGAGACCAAGCAAGCTGATTTGTCCTGACAGGATGAAGTAATGGAGGTACAGGCCATTCACTTCATGGATTCTTCTCCAAGGACTATTAATGCCTTTTGACTATTCTTATCCCACTGCCAGCAGCCAGACTTTTGCCCCAGAAGTGCTGTTAAATATTCCAGGAGAAGCTTCCCTTTCTGCTTCCAGTGATTCACCAGCAGCTTGGGACACAAAGGTATCACAGGCTGTTCACCCAGCCAGGTAGAAATGTGTTCAGCACACCGAATACAATTTCTTTGAATCCTCAGGGGAAGTTCCTGCAGATCCCTAGCAAGCTGGCCCACCACCACTATTCCCTGGTGAGCTGAGCATGTTTAACCATCTACTTGACAACAGGAGGATTCCAATCCCCAGGTTTGGTTCTTAATGACCCTGTTTCCTTGGGCTGGTGGGCAGAGTGGAAATTATTTCTTGGTGACAAGTGGCTGTGTTCTAAATATATGGGAGGTCATGGCAAAAGGCTTTGTGAAGAGCTGAGTAGCTGCAGAAGCTGTAGCCTTTGTTGCCTTCTAAATTCTCTGGCTTTGGTCCCCTACTGAAGTGTTTCTCTCAGCTGTGCTTCAGTTGAAGCACAGAAAATTATTAAAAAATCCAAAAAAAACAACAACCACAAAAAAAACCCCCACTACTTTTCTTGCAGTTTGATCAGGGAATTACAGTTTATTGTAGCACTCATTTAAATGCTCAGAGACTATTATCCCCCACAGATGCATAAAAAAGATTAAACAGCACAACCACCTATGTTTGTGTAAAAAGCACCATAAATTGATTAAGCAGTTGACAACCATATCTGAGATGTGGGATGAGATATGAGAGTGAAATACAAGTGTAATTTCCAGAGGTGTAGTAATTATTTATGTGGCTACCTGGGTTCTCAAAAATGTTTGTAACTAAAAGAAAATCTTCAGGTCAAGTTGTACTTTGCAGACACTTCCCCTAATAAGGGGACAAATGTTTTAGGCTTTTCTTTCATGCCTTGACTTTTCTTTCCACTACAGAATTTCCTGCAAGGTGCTGCACTGGCCACAGGGAGGATGTGACCTTCAGGAATGGATGCTTGACAACTTTCACCTTCTAAAAATTGAGATTTATGATCCAGTGACTTGAACCTTTCCCTTTCAGGTATTCTTGGTGTCTAACTGATCTGCAGCAAATCACAATAACATTAAATGTTCCAGGAAATCAGTGTATGTCATCTCAAATGATAGAATCTTGTTTAGCTACATTCATCTCAGATTCCAGTTGTTTTGTTTGTGTGCATGTCTGTGGAATTACTCTGTTGGCTTTTTTTTTTTTTTTCCTCAAAGAAGTACAGGTTCCTAATCTCATTGATTTGGTTTCTTCACTTTAGGTTATGTTACAAATTTCAAATCAGATTACAAGAAAATCAGATTAGTTCCTTGTGTTTAAACAGAACACTTAAATGTCTGGACTTGGTACTTAAAAACTGATGTTTCACAGAATGTGTTTGGTTTGGGTGTGCAGGAGGAGCAGAGCACTCAGCATTGAATGCACCACCCCTTAATTTTCTTTCAAGGAGACTTTTCACAATAAGTAAACAGTGGATTATACTAATAGTCTGAGAAAGTAATTTTCAAAAGTATGCTCTGGCAGTTGAAATATCAGTGCTGTTTCAGCTGTTTCATTTGCCTTCTACAAAAAGGACCATGAACGTGACAAATCACACATTCTGCACTCTGAGCTTGTTTTATGTTCTGACACTTCCAATACATTGATTTTCTTATTCATCATTACCAGAAGAAAGAGATTAGTTTTATGAAAATTAGACAATGGAGTCACATTTCTGGGAAACATTACTCATTAGAATCAGATGCCTCCCTTTAGTATCAAAATCATCTAATTACTTATGAGAACTTCACCTTTCAGCAGAAGATATTATTTCTCTAAATGGGAGCCTAAATATCCTTTCTTTTTATTGTTTTGTTGATAAATGTTAATAACAATAATTCTTTTTCTAGTCATCTGCAGATATTAAACACTTAATGTGGCACTGAATATTTATGCTATATGGAAGAAGTAATGCTTAAAAAGTTCACTGAAGAATTAAGCGAAAAAGTTAAAGTAAAAAACATTCCATTCTTAATGCTTCTGATATTAA